AAGTTTATCACATTCTATTTATGCAATGTTTTCTGCTTTAATTTCTCTTTGTTTATTAATTTATTTGAATTTTTGTTTATTTGTTCTTTGCAGTTTGATTAATCTATATTGCCTTTACAGTGTGTTGGGGTTTTAAACATTTGGTTGATTTCATTAAATTTTCCTTTGGTGTCAATAAAATAGTTTTGGATTTGAATAAGCTGGAGTAAAAAAAAAAAGATAAATTGAGTTTATTTGTTTTAGTAATTAACCTTGGATACGTAGAAATATTCATTGGAATTGCCATGCGATACATGGCATGGGATTTGTTTTTTGTTTTGTTTTGTTTTTTTAAATTTTGCTTCTATCTTATTGGTTGAAATATAATAATAATTATAAAAATGTATTTCATGGGTGCAAGATAACATTGCAATCCGTGACAGATGATAATATTACTATTATTGTCTTTCCTACCTGCATTATGGAGGATTTCGCAGTTTTGTGATCTGGTCGCAAAATCAGCAACTGCTTGCACAAACTGCAACCTGGCCTTCTGGTACTGTTCAAAAACTGAAAAGCACAAAATAAACAAGGAGTCAGTCTGATCACCTTCAAGCTGAACTTGATCAATATTTAGCTTGATCAGCCACGAATCTCACCTCTGATAATTTCTCGTTTACTCATTGTGCCAAAAAGAATAAAGAAAACTACTTTATCTCAAAGACTATTTGCTAAAGTGCGTAGTTGCTGAAACTAACTGTATTATTGTTGTTTTAAGTTGCCTTAGCAACACGTCGGCTGTGGAATGAGCCTTGCTCAGGTCAAAGATCGTTTATTAATGAAAGAGGAGTCACTGTGGTTCAGTAAATTCCTTCAGAGTGATGCCTCTTTTTATTCCCGCGATGTTTCAGCTGAGGATGTGACCCGCATTGAGCGGAAATGAGTTCCGGTCCGTTGGTTTGACCCGCTGACGACATTTTTAAAATGTCTGGAAAGCCGAAAAGAATACCATGACATGTTTTATATGTTGCATGACTTTGGATATTCCTCTAGAAACTTATATAAATTGATTCCCATATTTGTGAGAGGTAAAAGTAAAAAGCCAAGAAAGTTTCAGAGTACTGGATGAGGTGACGTGATTTTTGCAGCTCAAACAACTTCTAATACACACAGAGGTAAAGGAACATGACAAAATGTTTATATAAATAATGTTGAGAAAATTATATATATATATATGTATATTTAAAATATATAAAAATCTATATATATATCTGTGTGTGTGTGTGTGTGTGTGTGTGTGTGTGTGTGTGTGTGTGCGTGTGTGTGTGTGTGTGTAGACATATCTATAACTAGATAGATAGATAGATAGATAGATAGATAGATAGATAGATAGATAGATAGATAGATAGATAGATAGATAGATAGATAGATAGATGTAATATTAAATACATTTACTATTTTATTTGTATTTATAATATAATATCAAATATATTTATATGGATATTTGTATATCCATATATAATAATAATAATAATTATTATTATTATTGTTGTTGTTATTATTCACCTATTTTCATATATATAAAAGCAATATATTGCAACTCCCACAAGTTTAATTATTTTTTAAAAAATCTCTTGTTCTTGAATATAATTTCTTTTTTAAAACACATTGTACACAGTGTACAAATATATACAGCAAATATATTTGTATTAATTTGTGTGATGAAAAACTTGTGTCACATATGGAACTAAAAATCTGACCTCTTTGTCAATCTAAGGTTGCCTATACAACACATTTCCTGGTGATCACAAATTAAAGCTTTTCGAGGACTTGGAATTTTTTCTAACGTGAATCTATTTGTAACATAAATAAATAAGGAAACCTTACCTGAAATTGTGTCTCTCCTGTTATTTCATTTCGCCAAATTTCTAGAGAAAGTGAAATAGTACCAAGTGTCATTTTTTACCCGAAGCATTATTTTAAAAATGCAGTTAACAAATTTTTCTAGAACCACGGTGACAAATGTCAGATGATCATTGTGGAAAGTTCAACGAATCAACTCTTTAAAGTGCCAAAGTATCATCAGGAAGTTCAACAACAAATGGCGCTGCGCAGAAACGACGAGGACAAATAGAAACTTTCTGCTTTTCTCCATGTTTCCAGAGTTGATGAAGCAGCAGCAGCAGCAGCAGCAGCAGTAGGAGGCTGAATGTTTGCCTCATGATGCGTCCTGAAGCCGCATGCAGCATCCTCAGCATGCTGAGAGAAGCTTCATGTAGCTTATTCTGCCTCCATCGGTCCAGACGATGCTGATGCTGCTCTCCTCTGAGGCGGAACCTGTTTAACATTAACATGAAGAGCCTGGAGAGGTGGACCTCAGACCGAACCGGTCCTGGGACTTGCAGCGCAGCGCCAGTCCGCGACGCTCGTCGGAGTTCAGATGGACTCGGAACCGAGAACCGATGATTGTCCAGAGTGTCATGTTTTGTGCAGAAGCGTTGATTCTCGCTCTCTCTCTGTGATCTTGTCCCGAGTTCCAAGTCCAGATCATCTGCTGATTGTTCCCTTTAATATTTCTAATTTGTAGGGAGAATGGAGTCACGTTCCTCAGAGAGCAGGGACCGCCACCCCCATCACGGTCGTGATTGTGGTCATTCAAAGGAGGAAACGCTAGATATCTATTTTCTTCTCTCGCTCTCTTGCTCTCGGCGAAGGCGGTCGCTTTTTCCTCTGCTTCTCTTCATTCTCACCCGGCTTGCTCTGTTTTTGTGCTGCTTTTATTGGAGTCTTTCTTTTGCACATCCTCAGAATCCACAAATTATGGGTCTGGTTCACTGGTCTGTCAATGCAATTGATCGAATTTTTATCAAGAAGAAGACATGGGCACTCTTGTCTCATCCTGGATTTATCCCTAACAGGATCTCTGCTGTTTGGAGCTGGTGGATAACTGGCTTGTCGACCAATTTGTGACGGATCTGACCAACACTCAGACTGTGGGACAAAGACGCAAGTTGGATGCGAGTCTTGCTGAACTCTCAAGGACTCGCTCTTGATATTTCCGCCTTTATCAGAGGCTTCATTTGGAAGAACAGGCTGATCTGCACAAAGTTACAGACAAACACTTCCTGACCTCGACGCCTTTGCCCGCATGTCTTTGTTTTTCTATGTGCCGAATCCAACCCAACGTTGTCTTTTCACCCAACTTATCAATTATTCATTAGAAACTGTGGAGTGCTCACTTTTAACCCAGAAAAAGATATATAGTTTGTTTATTTATTTATTTTAGAAACTGTAAAGTACTCACTATTTAGACCAGTTTTCTACTTCTTGGATTCATTTTTTGATTATTATGCAGAGAGAGGCCGATTACTGAAACCCAGAAAATAAATTAGAATGAACTTGAAATCCAGAAAATAAAAATTCTTCCAGAACATTAAGTGTTTTTTTAATTATTATTATTACTTAGTACTCATTACTTTTACATATTTAGAGCATACAGAAATCCCAGACAATACTTACTTATACTTATCTAGCGACCCTGAATAAGAGTATTTAGTTTATATACTTTGGATCAATATTATTAGACTCTTATTCTTCCAGCCCACAAATTGAATTAGACCAGAGGACACTGAGCAACCCTGAACCGGAGCACCTACAAACTTTTAGTTTAGATCAATATTAGATTATTATTATTTTTTTGCTCTTTCCTTTGGTTTGATATTTTGTTTGTATTTCCTTTTAATTCCTGGAAAGCACTTTGCATTACCTTTTAGCTGAAAATGTGCTATATAAATAAAATGACCTCACCTTACCTCACACTAAAGGCCTTCAAAAATCTGCCACCGTCAGCCTGCCTGAGTGCTGAACATAATGAACAGATGAGCCTGACTGCACTGCAGCGCAGTAGCATGGGCATGACTGGAGAGATGAGAGCAGGAAAACAGAGCAGACAGACGGGCCAGAATCATGACAGGAATAGACTTCAGAGATCTCTGCAACAAATGGGCTCATGTTTGTGCAAATTTGAGCATAATTGCTCCACATTTCTTTTATACGTCACCGTTTACATCTATATTGTTTATTTTGTATTAATAAACAGGATTATTTTTATTTGAAAAGTTGAACTAAAAGTTCATTCACTCTTAGCTCCTCCAAAGCGGTAGGAGTTACTTCATAAGCCAAAATAAAACCAATACGTTCCGCGGTAATGTATCGGAACCGCAGGTTCGGTGTGAAAGAACCGAACCTGCTGCGTGCCTGTCTCAATCATTTTTGTATTTCGATTCTATTGTATTATTTTAATGATTTTTTTTGTCTGTCGTGCAAAGGCATGTCTTAGGAGAAAAGCAGAATGAAGACGTGTCTTTTCTGCATAAGTGTAAAATGTTTTATTTAGATGTTTTATACTGTGCAACAGTAACAATACGGTAAGTTGTTCATACAATTGAGCGATACAAATACAGAAAACAGAGACATGAAATGAAGCCAAGTCCTTCCTCTCGAACAAAGGGCAGAGAATAACACCATGGCTGATTAAATATGCACTTTGTCTCTATTTACACGCGAAAACCTTTAAAAGACGTGAAGGATGAACAGTCCAGCTACAATGAAGGGTGTTCTTTTTTTTTGTTTGTTTTCCAGTAAAAGGCAGAAATGCTTTTATTTGTCTCCCATTGATGCTTCCCGCTTCACAAACTCCGGATGTCCAAAGCGCTTCCAAAAAAAAAAAAAAAAAATAGTAATAATAAAACTCTAGAAAAGGGACGGACCCTGAAGCCTCTTCCTGAACAGAAAAGTCACAATGAGCATGCGCATTGAGCTGTGCTTCAACATACCCCGACACACATGAATTAATCATGAGAAACACCTTTAGATTGAAGAGACATAAAAACAAAATCTAAGTGTCAGCTTCAGCCACTCCTGCAAAATAAAGATGTAGCTTTTGAAGGGGAGAGACATGACATCCAACTTTCTTCTTCTTCTTCCCCTTCCAACATTTTCCTTTCAGACTGAATTTCCCATTTCATCCTTCTTATTTTTTTTATTATTATTTCGAAATGTCTCTGATTCCACTACGTTTCAACTTACAAATGATGCCATAATATTTAGAACGACGAATGGAGACAGAAAGAGAGAGAACGTTGTCTACACAGTGGGAACTACGTTGGCGTGGAAAATGTAGGAGTCTGGCGTTGGCAGGTCGGCTCCGGAGCCCTCGCGTCATCCGGATGAAGTCGCCGAGCCGTTCAGGGACACCTTCCGCGGCTTGCCGCCGCCGCCGCCGCCGCTGAACTGGCTGAAGGACCGGCTCGGGGTCTGAGCTCCCGCCGCGGCGGAGACGGCACCTGGACTTCCGTTCACGGCGCTGCCGCTGCTGTTGTTGGCCGGGCCGTGAGGGAGCTGAGGATGCGGGGACTGCGCGGGGGTCCCGGGGCTTGGCAGGGACGACGAGGTGGAGGGAGCCCCGACGGGACTCCCTGCTTTGTCGCTGGCGGAGTCGCTCTCCGGGCCGGACCTGCTTGCATTGTTCTGACCCTCCTGCTGGTTCACCTTCATTTTCTTACAGTTGGGTCGGACCCGGTACTTCAGAGGTAAGGGTCCGTTCTGTGCAGATGGGTTGAAGAGAAAATGAAACCTTAAAATAAATTAAGATAGTGCATCGTTTACATAAAAAAATATATATGGTTATTTTTTCTTTTAGTTATCAAAGCTGCATGTTTAAAACATGAATAGCCTATTTCAATGAAAAATTACTAAATATTTTATTTTCCAAAATTCTTAATTTCTAATGAATATAAAAAAAATAATCTTTAGGCATTTTTGAATTTCTAGAAAGTCACATAGGCACGATTACACATTGTGGTACATTTAGAATTTTTTTTGCAGGTCAGATTTCTCCCTCTCATCATTCATTCTATTGCAATTTCCATTCAGTTTCAAGGTGCCAGTCTAACTGCAACGAATGGAACACCAGTGAAGCTTCAAATAGAGATATAAAATCAAACCACTTGAAAGGTGTGAAATTAATTTTTAAAAAAAACTTCAAAACAGTTGATAACATGTTATTAATTTATGGAACCCTTTAGTTACAAGTTTAAGCTTTCCAAGTAAAAGTTAAACCAACATTGGAGAAACATCTGCTTCACTGTGCATGTACAAAAATATACACATATTTAGTCTGCATTTTTTTCCTTCTTCAAAATAATTATTTTCTAGATTCTATTTTATATATTGTTCCACCTATCATATGTTGAGCATTTTATGACATTGCCTATTTTGTTTTTGTTATCAGTTGTCACATTTTTTATTTGTTTTAATTCTCCGAGCAGCTTGAAAATGCAGATATTTAAAAATGCAGACAAGATTCTGATTGAATAAATACGGAAGAGTTAAATATTACTTTGTGATTAGTGGTATCCTCATCTCACAAAGTTCAGGACTTCGGCTGAATTCAAGGGGCGGCTGAGTTTATTTTAAACAATATTTCAAAAACTAAAATGCTAAATTAATTAGTTAGGACTCGGGTTGTAAAACCCCAAAATACAAGGCAGTATGTAAAACAAAATCAACATCAACAAGCCCTTTATTTTTCAGGCATTTCAATTTAATATATTTCAGTTAATAGGGGGAATTCTGGACACTTTTCCAAGCATTTCTAAATTTTATCAGGGGGTTGGAAAGCATGAAATATTTTTTCAGAGTGATCTAATCATTAGCACCATAGCTTCTCAAAATATTAATAAATTAAAATTCATACTTTATATTTTCTCCAGTAAAAACTTGGACATGAAAAGGGGGAATAGTTTATTGTTTGCAGTTAATTATATCTTTAAAATGTGTTAAAATAACATCCCATTGGATCGGCTTATGCCTAAATTTACTTACAAATGGACAGAAATTTAACGGTCAATATGATATAACTGCCTGTAGATTTTAGGACTAATGCTTTAATAAGGATGCTGACAAGCATACCCAAGGAGACCACTCACCCTTCTCCAAGTGTAGATATAAGCTATATCCATTAATGTGTAGTAATCTTTGAGAGGCTCGTCTTCATACATGACTTCAACCTGGATCACACAAAATGTATGCAAACAAATTTAATGGAAAAAAAACAACAACAAAAAAACAACAACGATTTTGCAGTTTGTTTGTATTTATCTAAAAGTATCAGCTCAAATAAGAAAAATACACAATATAAAAGACCTGATATGTGTTTGGGATGTCCATCTTGCTGCGCAAAAACTTCCTCAGATGCATGACCGTCATGGCGGCTGGACACTGCAGGTACCTCTTGTTAGCCACCTGCAGATATCCATATATAAAGAGTTATTTTGCATCTTGTGCTAAAAGCATTGGAAAAAAATATACTTTGATAAAAAAGTAGGCATTTGGCTGGTTGTTAAAAACGACAACATTTGTGTTGCAGAAACAATATGGCTGCTCCTTTTAACAGGTAGGGTTTATTATTATTATTATATATATATTTTTTTTGAGATTCTGTGAAGAGAGGTTGTCAGATCAGTGGTGCATACCTGATCTTTTGTTTGCTTGTCTTCCAACCCGCCTACAAGTCTGAAAATAAAACACACATTTTCATCCCATTCTTGTTGAAGCGAAATTTAGTCAACATACAATGCTTCTCGGAATTAAGAGTTTTTGCCATTCTATTCTCAGCAAGCATAATTTTCTTTTTTGATTTCAGAAATATAAAAAAATAAATAAATGTCAAAATAATTAACAGTCATGATTTTGCAGTGATTTTTATGTAGTTTTCCATGGTAACCAAAAAGGATGCTTTACTAATGACACACTGGACAAAATCCACTGAGCATTATAGTTGATATTTGTAAATTATAAATCTTTCACATTTTAAACAAATATCACCATGTTGCATAGGCAAGTACATGTTAAATGTTCAAGAACAATAAAATCCAAAACAGATTTTTTTTTTCAGACACTGCAAATAAATTACCAAAGTAAAAGTACCATTTTAGAGCAGAGAATGATCATTTGGAAACGAAGTAAATGTTAAATTTCTTTAATTATGACCTGATAAAAGTCGCTTCCGTGTACTTTCAGACCGAAAGCTCACCTGGTCTGATCAAAGAACTCGATGGAGAGGCTGATGATCTCGTCATCTGTGATAATTCTCTTATCCTCGTCCGCCACCTCTCCACGATCCTCATGTGAACCGTTGGAAGCTTTGACAGGAAAAGAAAATGTGCAGGTTGCATTACAGAGGAAAATTAAGGAGAACCATTCACACTTTATATAAAAAGGCTGGATCTTTGACTCACCGTCTACAGGATGCTCTGCATAAAAGTCTCTCCGTCTTTTCATTTCATCTGCAGGAATTGAGGAAGACAAGTCAGTACAGCTGCACTTCTCACAAACTCTTGGAGAGAGGAAATGCCGCCAGGGAGAGTTACAAGCAGCAATTTCACCATGTAACATAGCAAAATGGGATGACTTGTGGAAATAATTTGGGTCTTTCGGAACATTTGTCAACATCCCAAAAAAATGGCAACAAATCCAAAGGGTTTAAAAAAAAGCCTTTAAAAAAAGTAGAAAAATGTCAACATTTCAAACAAGTTGGACCCATATTGGTTGATTTTTCTTTACTAATACCATTTTGCAAGACGTCAGAACAAACAATATGTCCATAATTTCTCATTTCATCACTGCATTGAAATTGGAACAGCTTCTAATCGGTACCTGACTTTGAAATCTCAAAATGTGGCATTTGAAAACTTCACAACCTTACAAGACGTGATCCACACGTGAGTACGAGTACTGACAAAATGATATTGGGCAGTATGATTGATATTTGTAGGACCCATTACTCTGGAGCATTCACAAGCTCCCACTTCTATAGACAACGAAGAGATTCGAATGTTCTTACTTTTGAAGAGGCCTGGGACCAGTTTGTACACAATGTCCTGCAGAGTTTTGTCAGATCTGCAGAGGGAAAGGAGAAACTCCTGTCATGTTCAAACACAAACTACTGACACAGCAGGATGAATGTGTTGGATGAGCAGACAAATTACAGCTTTTACACAGATGACAATGAATGGCTGATTCATCCGCACAAAGGGCAAGTCAAAAAGGAAGAGTTGCAAAACATAATAGCACTTTTCATCTGCGATTAATAGCAAAAAGGCACACCCAGGGCCAAAGTGTGTCAAAGAAAACGACTTCAACAGCAACACTGTCTCACCTAATGTTGAGCAGGGGTTTTGTTTTATGCACTTGTACATCACAGATGGGGCAATATTTGCTCGTTTCCAGGTAGCGCACAATGCACATTTTGCAGACTGCAACAGAGAAAATATCAGTCAGAACAAAAGAATTAGAGTGTAAATCTGGGCTGAGTGACAAACGGTGCATCAGAGCTTCTGTGCTGCTCACAAGAGTGGAGGCATTCGATGATGGTGGTTGCGTCTATGAAGTATCCTCCACAGAGGACGCATATGAGATGAGGGTTGAGCTCGGTGATCTTTATCCTGGTGGTTCGATGCATGTTGGCAAAACTTTACGAAAAAAAACAAAAAAATTAAAAAAGGAAGAAAAAGAAAAATCCTGCATGGGAAGGAAGGAGAGAGAAAGAGGGAACGCGTCAGGACGGCTGCTGCAGACCATTTGAGGAACAACTATGACTATCATCATTGATTGGAATTTCAGGAAGACTTTTTCTTTTGAAATATTTTCAAGAGTCATAGCCTTTCCATCATGATGTTCACACCAAAACCCCAAAGTATGTTTTAACTGAGAGTCATCATTCAAAGACTCGAGCACCATTTGCATGGGAAAAAGATGCTGTTTGCTCGACTGTGTTAAATCAACACCATCTTTTATGCTAATTAAAAAATAACCAAAGGAGAGAGTTTTTTTTTTACCCCCTTCTGGGGCAGATTGATGGGCAGTGAGATGTCATTCAGTCGGCTAGGAGGCAGTAAAATATCATAAATCAATCAGATCGTGGGGAAATCGATGCCACTTTATATGACCGTCACCTAAAGCAAATCCAAATGTCGAGGTGATTCAAATTTTGAAAAAAGAAGAAGAAAAAAAAATAGTCGCCTCAACCAGTCAGCTTTTCCAACCCTGGATGTGGTAGCCTATTTTCAACGCGGTCCGTTGAGTTAAAATTTTTGCTTTACATCATCAAACAGCTGGAGAAGAAGTTCCACCGAGCACGGTGAGGCAGAACCGGTAATAAATCGCAACAATCCAGCGACCGAGCGGCAAATGCCGCTCAACATACAGGAACACATGACCGAGAGCATAAGGCGGATTCCGGCAGCGAGGGTCAGAAGGGGAGCGGTGACTCCAGGCTCCCGCTGGTTGCGTCAGGTGTGCCACACAGGCGACGAAAGCGCGCAGTGGTGGGGAGTTGGGGGCGGGGGGGGGGGGGTTAACCTGACCGTTTCTATGGCAACTCCCATTGCTTTGAGCTCGCGCAGCGTCTCGCCAGTAACCAGAACGACGCAGGATGTCGAACCAAAACAAAAAGTCGGCGAGCTGCCGGTGAGGCTGAGCGGGAAAGAGGAGGAAGGAGGGACCGAGTCTCTCTCTCCGTCCCCTCCGCCGCTGGACTGCCAGGCTGCCGACAGCACGGCTGCCATTTTGTAAAGGGGGGGAGAGGAGAAAAAAAAAAGAGAGAGGGAGAGAGAGAAAGAGAAGCTCATATCGTTTCGGCGGGGCTGCGGGGTTTCCTACGATAGAGAGGGGGCGCATTGAAGCCCCGCACAAACCCGAAGCTTTTGGGCTATAAAGAGCTACAGGCTACGGTGTCCCAGTCGGAGGGCGGCTTCGCTTTTCGAGTAGCAGCGCTTTGCTTCATGGCGTGTGTGAGATAGAGAGCACGGTGCTGCAGCGGCAGCGGCAGCAGCAACATGGCCAGACAGCAGAGGCTGCGCCGAAGTTAAACCCGCAAACTGGAACACAGGCTGCGTTTGTTCTGCGTCAGAACCAGCCTTCTCACGCAGCCTGGCGATCACCTTTCAGCGCATATTTGTTTTATAAACAAGTAACTTCACAGAAGTTAGTTGTGGGTGACGCTCATCGGCAGTGCCGATCCAAGGTTCAATTTAGTCTGAGGAAGAATTTGATTCGGGGGCAACATAGCCACCACAACACCACCCTTTTTTTAATTTGCTCATTGTGCAAATTAAAAAAGTGTGGTGTACAACTACACCCAACAGCGAATCTCCTTAATCGACTGCCTCACTTTGCTCCTTTTATTTAATGCAAAAAGTTTTGTGGAGATGAGGTAGAAAGTCACAATGTTTCAATACAGACTTGGTGTTTGGGATGGATGTGTCGAATTTAATCAGCTGTACTTACAGACAGAGAGGGAAATCACATTCAACTTGTTACCATTCACATTTAGAGCGTGCATGATCAGCACTGACAGTAAAAATAGAGCCTGTTAAAGTGACAGCAAAAAAAAAAAAAAAAAAAAAACTAAAATATCTACAACCATAACACATAAAATCTTGAGCAAACATGACTTACTATATGGTTCGAATTCAGCCATTTTAAATCCTTTTCACATCATTTTCTTAAAATAATCCCGGGCATTTATAAGTCGACTCATTCTTGATCCACAGCAAACTGTAAATAAGTCATGACACACTGTGATGTCATCTTGGAGTCTCCTGAGCTCCAGCCAGCAGCTCAGTTCGCTTATACCTTAAGCTGGCTCTGCTTTCATACAGTTCAGGCTTTAAGACTTTATGCTGGGTTGGAGGCAAAACAAGACAAATCTAAACTAAATGTCGACGTGACCTTTTTTTCTTCCCAGAAATATAAGTTGTCACCAAGTGTGTGCAAAGACATCAGAGGTCATGGTGTGCTAATAATAATGAATACATATATATATATATATATATATATATATATATATATATATATATATATATATATATATATATATATATATATATATATATATATATATATATGCATGTCTGAATAAGTAAATAAAAACGACTGGATTTGACTGAGCCAGTCTTGCCCACCATCAGCTCCGTGATGCCAAACTTCTCTCAAAGACCCCTGAGAGGGCACGTTTGGACAGCGTCTCTGCTCCAATGGATGCCACAGACCCGCACAATGGCGGATAATGTCCGCATATATGCAAGGAGGAGCCTGTTGCGCCATTAATCGATCGCCTGGTGTTTGGACAACTGTTCTCCCTTCTCCGTCCTGTGGGAGCGGGACTGTTTGCTCCCGTTTACGACATGACTTCGAGTCGGTGCCCCGACAGAAATAAAATAAAATTTAAAACAAGTTTATTCCATGGATCAGTGGGAAGATGAACTCCCAACTGTGTCCATCGTTCCGACTTGAATGAATTTACTCTACGCAGCGATTTATGGAGAATGAGCCTTAAAAAAATGGAAAAAAGCCGCACAAGTCTAGATTTCCAAAAGTCCTCGCGATTGACGCAAAGAGATGCTGCTCGTTTATCCTCAAACGATTCCGTCGCCTGTCGCGACGTTTCCTCTGGTTGCAAACAGCCCGACAGTCCTTTGAAATAATAATTAGAACCCGATGAAATGAACAGAAACAGCAGGAAAACTGTCCGCCGCCGTGACTGGATACATGAAGTGGAACATACAAAAATAATAAGAATAAAAATAAAAATGAATGGCAACCTATTGGAGCTTCAGTTCATTTCAACAAAACGTCACGACCACATTTATACCAGAGACCTGAAAACAACCACCAATGAAAAAATATTCCAGTTTTTCTCTCTCTCTCTAGTAAAAGCGTTCATAATGAACACTGGTCATTTTTTTTTTCTCTCTCCGCGTGATAGAGGAGACCTGTCAGCTCAGCATACTGTACAAGAGCCACCGTGGACGTGCAATGGAGCTGAATGAAATGTGAAAAATATTGCACCTCAATAAAATAAAAAACAAACATCCTGTCCAGGCTACAGTTCGTGGAAATTGAACAGTCGCTTTGGAGGACTCAGCCACCTCTTTGTATCCACCCCGACGTCTCGCCCCATGTTTTTTGCGTTAATTTGCTCAAACTTTAACCATCCAATCCGAGCAAAACCGCCACACAACAGTCGAAGAAGACGCACACTTTCCTATTTCCTAACAACCAGCCACCTATCGATCACCGGTAATGAAATAATTAAGACACAAATGAAACGCTTCACCTCCACGGCACGTTTCCGGTAGCCATCCATGTTAAGTTAAAAAATCCGAAACCGGGTCAAATTCACACGAACGTCGAACTGGACCCGGTTCGAGACCCTTCCACCATCCCAGCTCTATAAAATGAAGCCCCTGCGTGGAAACCCGAGCCCCCACGGAGCGTTTGAAGCACTTGCCGCCGCTGTCATCTCAGCCGACCCGGCTTGGTTCGCCTCGGCTCTCCCACTTTACATAAATCCAAACGACGCAAAGCAAGCCTTAATCGAGACCAAACCTTCAGAGCCAGCGAACCCAGCTCTGCACCACGCGTCCGCGAGCAAGAGTCGGCGATAATTGCTTTTAGAACCGAGAGCGGGTCTGTTTTTGCAGGGGGGAAGAAAAGTAGTGCGCATGAGACACACTGAGCTCCACGTCGGTGATAGAGCTTCACATCCACCGCTGGATCGGATCAGCGCGGAGGGAGAGAGACAGACACAGAGAGAGAGAGAGAGAGAGAGAGAGAGAGAGAGAAGGTGGAAAAACACAAAAGCACACCGCCTAAACGTCGCCTTTCACCGCTGATAGTTAGAGACGAAACGGAAGGGGACGAACCTGCAGGCTCGGCTGGCGATCGGCGGCTCTCGACGCGGCGGAGACAATGAAAGTTGGGAGGCAGATCAGCAGAAAATGAATAGAAGCCGAGCCGCCATCTTGAAGCAGGGCTGCAGACGCTGTCAGTGGCGGAGAGCGCACGGCGGAGCGCAGCGCATTTCAGATGCGCCAAGATGAGAAGAGGAGGGGCGCGACGGGGGGAACAAAACTCCTCGTTTCCTCCTGCGCCGCGCGTATCCCGATCCAACGGATCCAAATCCCGCCGCTTCGGTTCCGACGGCCGTCCACTTCAGCACTGATAACTTTGCCTCCAAAATATCCGCTTCGTCTCTAGAGCTGAAACGCAGCACACTCTCTCTCTTTCTCTCTCGCTCTCTCTCTCCGTGTGTGTGTATGTGCGTGTGCTCCGTGGAAACTGACACAGTCCCCAAAATGGCTTGTAGTTCGACCGCCCCGTGGTCACGTGGTATTTTTGCTTAAGGGTGCCTTGGAATTACTGTCGGTGTATGAACGTTTGCCCAAAAATCTTCTGAGTGACACGAAACACAAGAAGACCAAAGGTGTGCACATGATAGTGCTTTTCTTTTCTTTTTTTCCCCCGTCTCTCTCAAAGCGAAACCACGCAAGACGCTGCGATTTGCGCATAAAAACGCGATCAAGCGGACGCTTAAAGGCGCAGCGAAATTTGCTGTTGAGGTTTTTAGTTTTTGTTTTTTCCTCCGGGAACGTGATTCTAGAGATCCACGAATCCACGTTCATGCACTTTTTGCACACTTTGCGCCACAGTCGGCGTGCGTAACATGCGAGCGATCACTTTATTGCGCCACAGCCTCGCTGGTGTTAAAAATAACCGCAAAGCACAGGCGGCTGCCCTCCTGCAGACTGCTGTGGCAGAAGGCAGCTGCTTTATTAAAGCTCTCCTCTAAGACCGACGCACTAACAAATGGCGTCAAACATTCCTTTTTATCCCCCAGTCCTCCTCTCCACATGCCCATGTATAAAAGTTAGAATAAAATAAAATAAAATAAAACGCACAACCACGTTCGCTGGAAGCATCTGAAGTCTTGATACTGCTCGCAGCCGCCCGAGCTTGGAGGAATTTGGGGATGTTTATGGAATCCGAGCCGCTGTGCAGCTCCAACTGAGGAGCTTTGAAGCTGCAGCTGATGTGGGTGTAAACTCGGAGGGGATGAAATTCCAGGCAATTAATCGGGAGGGTTTTTGGCTCCAAGCATCTTGCTGAAAGTGAACGGCAATGATGTCAAACTGCAGTTAATAATAATAATAAAACAATGTATAAATCTCTTCAAGTTCTAGTCAGCGATTCAGGGAACAAAAAAAACAAAACAAAAACAAAAAAAAAACTCCACACCGGGTGTCGGGTGAGAAGGTTGTTGAGAATATTTCAAGGTTTGGCGCGACTCAAATAAATACACACATATATATACGAATACATTTTCTTTTTTTTTCAAATTTCAGATTTTATTCTCCAACATGTGTGACGTTATGTAGACTGGTGTACAAAACAGGAACAAGTATATTAGTATATTAAACAACAACAAGCTGATAGAAAATAGTGAGTGAAGTTGCTGCGGCTGCAGGGCGTCACATCTGACTGGCTTTCTCCACGCTCTTGGCAGCATCTTTCAACTTTGACACCAGATCCTGGAATAGAGAGAGAAAAAAGACAAAACAAAACAAACAAACCCAAAAAACACGGATCACATCCAGCACAAATCAAGAGCAGCGGAGAAAAGCGGGAAATATTCCAAAGGAAGAAGATCACAATTCAATTTAGTTCAGCTCCTCCTTTCATGTCAAACGCGCAAATAATACCTTGAGCTCGAAATCCCCCCCCTCCCCCCTTCTCAAAAAGCATCAAGCAGGTCAGACATCTTGTGATAGAGCGAGCTTTTATTATTCGTTATGTTTTTTCCTGATGATTAAACTCTTTTCAGTGTGCAAATACACGCTTTTCTGTTACCTGCAGCTGCTCCATTGTGCAGGTGAAGTTAACATCCTGAGAGGATCCTTCATTCTGACAATAAATAAATAAAACAAAAGTTTTTTTTAATATATATATATTTTTATTGCGCACTCCTACAGAAATTGCAGGAAAGCAGAAGGAGTCCAGCGCAGCATTTACCTCCGTGTTCAGTGAGATCAGGTAGAAAGGCTCGTTGATCTTATCCAGCTGCCCGCTCTATTGGGGGGACGACATTGTTAGAGTCTCATAACAAATGGCGCAGAAAGAACTGCTGGCGCACAGGTTCTGGCGCAACGCGTCTGTACCTTCATGTGATACTGCAGACGCCATGATACGTCATTAACGTGAGGTGGACGTCTGCCCATGCTAGAGAGGGAAAAAGTTAAAAGAGGGAACAGCTTGTTGTAGCAACTGGCTTATAAATGTGTAATAAGTTCATTCAATCTGCCAGGGGCGTATCCAAAAAGTTTTTTTTTTTAAAGTGGTGACCACATAACACAAAAATAAATACACCAATAAGAAAATTATATATTTAGCCATTTCTTTCATTCTATATTATTATTTTTATTATTATTATTCAGGCTCTGTTATTGAGGGGAAAATTGTGGGTTTAGGAAATTATAGGCTAAATCCATCCGCTTTGGTCCTCATGTTCAAATTTCATACCAGACCAGTTTACCAGTTTGCTGATAATTATACTTTCTCAGCCCTGATTTATACATATCCAGTCAATTTCTCTCCCACCACCAAGCTCATTTTTCCGTGAGACAAGTCTTTCGATAACTTTATTCAGCTCAGCAATAGAATCTAAACATCTATCAAATTTTTTTTTTAACTTGAATGAGATCAGAGAGGCAAAAACAGACAAAATCTCCAGTTTTTCTCCTTACCTGCTCAACAGATGCTCCATGTCTTTTTTATGTTTCTGTAAAACAAAACAAACCCCAGTTTACCAGCCACACAAGTTAGTCCAAACTGCAGACGTTAAATGTAATTATTTATTTATTATTTTTATTGAGATCAACATGATCTGACCTGATATGTGCTGAAGAATATTTCTATTCTGTCTGTGCTGAATGTGAGCTCCTCAAGGCAGGAGCTGCAAGAAAGAAACAGAGACACACTTAATTTCACATCTTTTTTTTATTATTGTTATTTGCTTTTGATAAGATGCCTTTCTTCAATACCATTCTACTCAAAATGTTAACTTGTAGCGATCGTGGACTTCCCATTTTCTTCAAAATGAACATAATATTTGGAAGCGTGTGCTGAACATGAGCCTGGAACTGAAACGAAAAGGTGATTTCCTCATAAATGTTTCTTCCATCTTGGCCAGTGGGAAAGCGTCAGCATTGCAGCACTGGCTGAAAACACACAAACACCATCTGACTATAAAACATTAAGCTAGCAGAGCACAATTTATCCGATCTATCAGCCTATGAAACAAAGTAAGATTATGTCAGGCAGGAGTTCCTGATGAAATCCAAATGTTGCATAGACTGATTTTAAAGCATCTCACAGAAATGTTTGTTTAGATTCAAATCAGACCGCAAAACTTGAATTTTGTCTGCGAGAGGTATGGGTTGGTCATCTGTTTCAAGGTAAAAAAAATAAAATAAAATAAAATTTTCAGCACTGTGGTTTAAAAGGATTTTAATGGGATCTCACATGGAGTGTTTGAATCTTCTCAAGTCGTACGCAACACCGATCCTCTCCCAACTGCTGCTGCCAACTGCTAGTCAGCTGGCTGAAAGAAGGCTTTTACACTTTGACCTCTCTCAAAAGAGGAACAACTTTGGCTGCCTGGAACTATTTCCAATCCTGAAAAAAACCCTGAAAGTCACGGTGTTGAAAGTACCACCCATTAAAATCACTTAATGTAGTAAAATCAACATATGATCTGCCTTTATCTGTTGTGTCTTAAGGAACAGCAATTAAATCATGTTATTCATTTTTGTTAGAATTTTTTAATGTTAAAATGTTCTGATAAAGCCATTTAAACCAGCCTGATACCAAACTGTAAAGTGCAAGATATCCTCCAGTATTTTCTTCATTTCTGTCAAGAAGATTCCAACTTTGGGTCAGATCTCAAACAAACACATAACAATGAACTTCTTAGTTTTCCACAATATTTCCAAAGCTTTTGGTCGATCTATCTGTTCTGGTCTGATTAAAACTTTCAGACAAAATCTCGTCAAGTAAGTGAGTTTGAGTACTTTCACTGAGGAGTCTGCAATAAATCACAATCCTGCTATTTTTTTTTCTCAAAAATTCAGGGGAAGTTGTGTTTTTCATTTGGTACAGAAACCCAACTGACATTCTCTTATTCAAGATGTATAGATTAGTTGGGAAGGTACACAACTTGATTTTTTTTTTTTAACGGGTATTCATGTTTGGCACATGACTGTTTTTTTAATAGTTTCATACAGTTGAAGCAGAACAAAGGATCCGAGATTACGAATGAAACTTTGTGAAACGACAGCAGTCTGTGCCAAACATCTGGTTTTAGAATGAGAAAACCACAAGACAAGTATGAAATCAGACATGAACCAATCAGCCGTTTTCAACACCGATTTCTGATTTCATTTAAAATTTGACTGCAATTTTATTTTTTTACCGATTCCGATTTCATGTCACGATTACAAAGCACTAGTGAGAAAAGAGGCGATTCTTTTCTGGAGGTTTCTTGACAGAGGAAACCTCCATCGTTTTTTTAAATCCATCAGAAAACGATGAGTGAACATAACGAGTCACTGACCTTCACCTGGTTTTACAAAAAATGCATCAGACAATCTGCTGTTGGTGTATGTTGACTGAAAATAACGAGTTCTAAGTTTTCATTCGATGAATGAAGAGGTAGAGAACTGATTTTCTTCCCCCTGTTGTCGGGTCTCCCTTTTACCAATGTCAGTCAATCGCCGATTTATTGATACTTTTCCATAAGAAACACATCAGTTCTTAAGTTTTCACAGCTGAATGTTGTCTCTTACATGCACAGACACACGTATTCTCATACAAACTCATGCCAAACATCCTAAACATCAGATGTTGTAATATAAACCACAAAAAGTTTGCATAAAAGACGACATTTTGAAAAAAGGTGCAACAAAAACAAAGGTCATCATTGATCCGCCTTTAATGCCACATCAGCACATTTTCCTCCATTTGTTCCTCTTTCCATATATAATCGCTTCTCAACAACATGCAGCCAAACAGTGTGAGCAGGCAACTCCACTGGAGTCTCTCCTTTTATTTTTTTCTGCAAAAAGTTTCTTCATTTCTAGTAAAAGAAAACAAGATCCCGCATCCACTGCTGCAGATCCAGAGAGCTTCATGGTGCAACATGAAGCAATCCCATCAGCTCCTCTGGTTTCCATGCAGGTCTGCTGTTGCCTTACCTTAAGGTGGACTTGTCTGCGTTGTGTTTGACCGCTTCCAGGATGAAGGTGGCCAGGGCTGCGTGGCTCTGCTTCAGCAGGATCCGGTCCATGTGCTTCAGCTCGGGCTGATCTGAAACCAGGAGGACAGTGAAGCGAGATGATGCTGCATGGGATCACACTGGTGCCAATGCGATCCATTTCCTCTCCTCGGGGTTCTCCCAGATTGACGCGCAGAATGGAAATCAATGACGATTTGCATGTGAATGGACCCCTCAGCTGCATCAGCCGGGAGTGCAGAGGGGGTGTGTGGGGGGCGTCCGGGGTCATTTCTTTGTTTGTCTGGTGAACATTTCATTTTCTAAACAATTCTCACACCGAACCGCTAACCCCCCGTCACTTTAATCGTTTATTTTTTGGTGTGATTTGTAGACTTTTATTCGAAAATTAAAGTCGACCAGCAAAAACGGAGCGGGCTAAAAATGTGTGCAAGATCAGATTGTCTATTTTAATATTAAAATACTTCGATCCAAAGTGATTGGCACTGAAATACTTCATTGTGATCCTTGTGATGTGTTGTGCAGCCCTGGTGGCCGTTTAAGAGGCAACAGAAACCCCGTCAGAGAGAACGCGTTAACACCGACAACCGCGCTCCCAGTTCACCCCACCCACACCGCTTTTTTTCTCCTTTTTCTTTTTCTTTTACGTGAACGTGCACAATCCAGGGCGCTGCAGTCCCGTCAAAACCCGCAAACCTCGAGTCTAGACATGGAGGAACCGGAAGAAGGAGCGGAGACAAAGCGGCGGCGGCGGCGGTGGCGGGGGGAGAGACATCGGCTCACCGAGGACTGTGGGGTCGGCCCGGGAGGAGAGCAGCCCCCGGAAGGAGGCGTCCAGCAGCGCCTGAAAGCTGCTGTGGTTCACGGCAGACTGATCGGCCAGGAGCTGCAGCCCCTTCTGCACAGACTCGCTTAACTCCATCTTGCAAAAGGGCGAGTCACGTGACGGATCAGCTGATCCAGCGCGTGGAGAAGAGAGAAGGCGAGGCAGAGAGAGAGAGAGAGAGAGAGAGAGAGAGAGAGAGAGAGAGATCCATAAATCACTGAGGTTGTCAGCAGCTCTCAGCTCTCAGCTGTGGTTTTCTGATGGCTCATGCAGCTCGTCTATGGTTCCTTTAACATGCTCGACACGCGCAGCGTTGAAGCGTTAAAGGCAAACAGGAAGAACAAACAGGTGGTTTCCAGAAATAAGCCGCTCACTCTTCATCACCCAATCAAAAAATAATAAATAAAGAAATAAATAAAACACACAATGCATGCAAATGCAGCTGTATCTGTTTGATCAGGGCGCAGACTAAAAACGGGTGACCTTCAACACCTGGCGCTCTGCAGCGCGGATCTCTTTCTGTCATGAAAACAGTCTCTGCTCCATTTATTTTCATTTTTAAATCACAGAAGCAGATTGGAGAGCTTTTCCTCATGTGACGCTTAAAACGTTACTTTGTTTTCCTTTAACTCGGCGTCCAGTGACGCATCCAGTGACTGGCTGGCTACAGCTGGAGGAAACGACTTTTACGATCAGGTGAAACTGTACCAGCAGGACTGGCTCGAGGTGACACGGGGTCTCAAGCTGAGTTAGATTTGGGGCCCCTCTTCCTGTTACAAGCGTCAACCCCCACGAACAAGTGCTCACGTTCAGGGTTTGGGCGACGATTAATCGGCTGAGTTTCGACGCAGTCTTTGGTCGCCGGTTGTCATGTGTCAAGATGTAGGCCTACTTGTCATCGAGCCGAGCTCGAAACACAAAGACAAGTTTTGAACTCGTATCAGATTGTTACTATGGGAACACGAGCATCAAACAAAGGAGTTGAAGAGACAATAATCAAAGAGAAAGGCAATCCTTGAAATTCCTATCAATTAAAATCGTTTTATTTCTTCTGTGCTGAAAGCGTCAAATCAAATTCACTCCTCAAATACACTCCTTCTCAACAAACCAATGTGAAAACGTGCATCCATGATCTGAGTTCAAATTCAAGCCTGTCACTGAGACCCTGGTGACTTTGAATCCCTGAGCCAGGGCTTAGTTTGCTTTGCCTTGTGCTGGCCCTGCCTGCCAATGTTCTGTTCCTCCTGTGTGGTTAGATTTCCTCTCTGGCATTGAGTTTCATTTGTATGTACTTTTCCTGTGAAAACGCCACCCAAAAGAAGACAACAACAACAAAAACTGTCTCAAACAGGCCATTGTGTCAATTTGTACTACTATACACTTTATATCATTGAAATATTAGGGGAGGTCTTAAAGCCAGAGCTTTAATGATTCAATCCAAACCGTGTGAACTATTTTTAGGGGAATGCATTCAAATAAAACAGAACTTGTCTGTCGCTTTAACGCTTGGATGAAAGGCAGCTCTGCAAAACATAATTTGTTGTGCAGCATTTTTGAATAATAACAATAATAATAATATTTTTTTAAAAAACAGCATAAAATCTTGCATAAAAGGATGCTCGTACATTGTGGGTCGTTTAGATGAAATGATTGCGCGTTTTGTGAAGATAAACGTTTTGCTTATGGCTGCATATTTTTTACACAGCCTGTTTTCGAGGAAGCAAAGCAGAACTTGCAAACAACAACGACACAAGTCAAAGTGGAATTTAACGAGGTTGAAGAAAAAACGACACATTTGAAACCCTACTGGATATACTGGGACCTGATCTGCACTCAGTACAGCAGTCGACTAATGGTGTAATTAATGTCATTGCATGCATGGGCCTATTTTCGGTTATCGACCGACACCTCAGCGATCATATTAGTCATCTCGCTCTTCTCGCTGTCTTCATTTTTACGTGTGACTGTGCAGTTTTCACGTTCTGAGAGAATGATGGGGGACTTCACAGTCATGGCTGCAGCTCACTTTGAGATCCGCACGCAGCAAACAGTCCGGGGCAAAGCTCATGACATCTGGCGTCGTCCTTCAAAATCCACATGTGGAATGTTTACATAACGACTTTTAAAGAAAAGCCAAATTGATCTATTTAATTCTTATGATGTGGGGAATATAAGATGAACTTAGGGGATCTGTGGGTGTGATCCGGCTGAAAGTTTTAGTTTCCTCCTTCTTTGTACTCAGTTTTCATGAGCTACTTTGCTTCTGATTTATGTATATTTCGTTTTATTTTTTCAGCAAGTAACGGGTTAAATCCCACTGGGGAAGCTTCTCCGTTTCCCTAAATCGCACATGGTCGCCGTCTCATCGCGGACTCACACCGTTATTTAAAGCTGCATGCGCTGTTTTAGAGATGAGGCGACGTTACAAATGAGAGATAATGGTCGGGATTATTATGGAGGAACTGAGGCTGCAGCGTCCTGCGCGGCCGCACACCTACACACCCACCCACCCACCCACACACACACACACACACACACACGCATACGCACACAGCAACTATCCGTGTGACCTCTGACTCTGCGCTTTGTCCAAAGTCCATTTTGGCTCCAGGTTGTGAAACAGATCAGCCTCTTCTGTCTCTCTGTCTCTCTCCTCGTTGGTGTGTGTGTGTGTGTGTGTGTGTGTGTGTGTGTGTGTGTGTGTGTGTGTGTGTGTGTGGGTGTGTGCGTGTGCGTGTGCATGTGTGTGTGTGTGTGTGCATGTGTGTGCGTGCGTGCGTGTGTGTGTGTGTGTGTACGTGTCTGTGTGTGTGTGTACGTGTCTGTGTGTGTGTGAGTGTGTGTGTGTGTGTGCGTGTGCGTGTGCGTGTGCGTGTGTGTGTGTGTGTGTGTGTGTGTGTGTGTGTGTGTGTGTATGCGACATGTCTTTCTTTTCGCAGCATTCCCATTATTTTTTAACTTCTTTGTTATCTGGTCCAGAGTTCTCAAACCGGTAATTATGCATATTGCTGGCAATCTATTTATGGAAAGGCGTTTTTGGCGTAGATTTTATAATTACTCCGATCAAATCTAATATTTTTTTTTATTTTTTATTTTACATAGCCCATCTGTGTTACTCATATTCAGACGGTGAATCATTACGAGACACAGTGAGTGTTATCTGTGACCAATGAGGTGAAAGGAAGCAAATCATTACAGATCATTTTCACCTGCTGTCCTCATAGGTTTTTGGATAAGATTACGCTGCAAAATTTTGCAAAATAAAAAATAATAACAATAATAATAATTTGCTAGATCTGCATTCCTCAATTTGTTGAAAGTACACAATGGCTCTGGCTGTTTAGATCAACTTTCCTTTAAGACGCTGCACAAGTCAGTAAGGAAACCACGCCAGGCAGCGTGTGCTACTTCCTGGTTTAAGACGAGATGCGTTTCGATTTTAGTCCTTCACGTATTTCATCAAAGCTCTGGTTAAGTTAAACTGCACAGGACTATATAAAAACACAGAGACCTCCGAGTTGTTTCTGACGCGTTTTTCTTTCTTTCTTTCTTTCTTTCTTTCTTTCTTTCTTTCTTTCTTTCTTTCTTTTTTTTCTTCTTTCTTTCTTTTTTTCTTTCTTTCTTTCTTCTTTCTTTCTTTCTTTCTTTGTTTCTTTCTTTTCTTTCTTTCTTTTTCTTTCTTTCTTTCTTTCTTCCTTCTTTCTTTCTTTCTTTCTTCTTTCCTTCTTTCTTTCTTTTCTTTCTTTCTTTCTTTCTTTCTTCTTTCTTTCTTTCTTTCTTTTTTTTCATAGCATGACCCATTTTTTTCCCCTTTTCTTTCTTTTTAGAAATCGTTCGTTCAACGTTACTGCTGAATAAAATCTGAGCTGCTGGATCCTGTTTGATTGTTGTTTCTTTTGACTTTATTTTCCGGCTCTCGGGAAACCAAACCTCCCATCAGTCACTCCAAAAACCTTTAACACAGAGTCTGATACTAACAGTGGACTGATCAATCTATAATTATATTTCTATTCAGGGCTGGGCTAAAGAAGAGTCTGAAGAGTGGATGTGCACCAACAATGAGAAAGACTCCTCCAATATCTATCTATCTATCTATCTATCTATCTATCTATCTATCTATCTATCTATCTATCTATCTATCTATCTATCTATCTATCTATCTATCTATCTATCTATCTATCTATCTATCTATCTATCTATCTATCTATCTATCTATCTATCTATCTATCTATCTGTCTATCTGTCTGTCTGTCTGTCTGTCTGTCTGTCTGTCTGTCTGTCTGTCTGTCTGTCTGTCTGTCTGTCTGTCTGTCTGTCTGTCTGTCTGTCTGTCTGTCTGTCTGTCTGTCTGTCTGTCTGTCTATTTTTTTTCATAAAAATAATAAACAGAGAGTAACTTTTTAACCAGTTTCAGATGACTCAGAAGCCACAATGTGTCGACTAAATTAAAGCCTAACTCAATTAATGCTTTAAAATGACTCAATCAGTTTGTTACATGAGAGAAAGCATCTGGGAAAGAATCTCAAACCTGATTTTTAACTGAACCTGGCTGTGTTATAATTATATGTTAGCTGATAGGCTGTCCTAAAAAACAAAAATAGCAATAATGATAAAAAAAAAGTTAAAATAAGTAAATACATTGAACTGGGGGTATTGTTACATTTGTTCCAGAGTTAAGGTGGAACATGTCTGAATAACAGGAAACCAACAATTGAAGCCTAGAGAGAGAGAGAGAAAAAAAATCTAGTCTATTTCTCATCTTTCCTCAAATGTATTGAGAGTGATAAAATCTGTTTGAAAATCCTGGAATATTGAAACTAATAAAGGTAGATTTCAGAAGCTAACTCTGTTCAGAAAAGCCAGTTGCCATGCAAATCAGTCACTCAGATATTTCACTGATCTCTTCTTCACGACTGCCTTGAACCAGTCAAAAAGATGGAAAGTATTGCAGTTCACTTGTATTAAATTGAATTATGAAAGCTTATAATTCAATGAATAATTTGTTTTCTGGATTTTTAAAAAATGTGCAGAGGAGTGTAGAATTAAAAAGAAGAAGAAGAAAAAAAAACATTCCAGTTTTTCCCCCAAAATGTCACATCTGCGTATCTTTTTCTTGAATTTTGC